TTAATTCAAAATGATTTTTAATTTTAGTTTTAGTTTTCATTTCATAGTTTGGAATTGTTTTAAAATCAATGTGTTAAATCAATTTAATGAATGGCTAAGAGGCAACCAGCTCATTATACATAGAAAATAAAAATGTAAAATTAGATAAATGAATAAAAATGATTTATTAGTTTAGAACACTGTCAAAATTCCATTACGGATAGTCTTAAATTGTGAATATTATGTCACGAAATAATTTTTGATGTTATATAACGGTTAGTTGAACTCAACTGATAGTATAACAAGGAATGAGTTAAGTTTATTAATTTTTATAAGAAATGGAAAAATGCAATTAGATAACATATAATTTAAAACAACTCGTTAAATGATTAATATATTTTAACTTATAACTAAAACCAAATTTCATTTTCATTTTTCAGACTTGCCTAAAGACGGACCATACATCACTGGAGATAAGTCAATTTATCAGTTTGGTGACACAATAAATTTGAACTGTACATCAGCCAAGTCTTACCCAGCATCCAGTCTTCATTGGTACATAAACAACATTTCGGTAAGTAAATTACGATAAAAAATTCGATCACGTATTGATTTTTTTTTACTCAAGACAAAAGACAGTCATAAAAATAAAAAACTTTTCAATAGTTCGATGACATATTGCTATTATATTGGATAAAGTACGTTATCCACTACGTAAAATGTTTGATTTATTCAAACTAGAATACAACTTAAGTCTGAATCTTGAATCAAAATTTAAGAGTATTTCAATTATTTTAAATGAAAATTAAACAAAAAAGTTAAATCATTCGAATCGTGACTTGTGTTCAAATAATGATAACAATACAGAAAATAAAACGTAAATAAATGGTTTCCGGCAAGTTTTGTCGGTTTCGATAACTGCAGCGTARTAGATGCGTGTTTCTATAAAGGTCTCTGGACACCGTATGACCCTTTATGCGGTCATAATATTCCCGATATGAAATGGTCTGTCCAAAGACWGGTTATAATAGTATTATGTTRTATAGTCATAAACTATACGTCTACCGTCCCTCCTCGTGTTCCAGACAGTGCAAGTACACGATTGTATACAGATACCATCTATATTTATAATATTATGTAATATACATTATGCACGCGTGTGTGTGCGTGTGTCTGCCAGCAAAGTACACCGTAACGGAATTACATATCTCACCGACAGTTATAAACTCCCGTAAAAACAATTCTATTTTCATTAAAMATTTCACCGTTCAGGTATACTATTTTCYGATCAACAGTTTAGATGAATATACAATTTAAATTATATTCTTATCAAGCTTCATAATTACGCTGCCAATATGAAACGATTTTATTTTGCGATGAATAATTTTATGACTACTTTATACAATATATAACTCTGCGTCTTATTTTTTTTTTTTACCAGAAAAAAAATAGGAACAGTTGGGAACTGTTTAGCACAATACTGCCACACGGCATAATTCTGAACCTGAGCACAATTTAAATCAAATGATTCTTATCTTTTATAGGGTTCTTTGACACCGATGATAGACCACATAATAATGGCAAATGGAATACAAATGTGTTAAAACATATTATACATTTACAATACGTTAAAAAAAAACATAAGTTAGACGTGTCGTCAGTTAAATTTACGTCGATTTATTTTTTGTTTAGGTTTTTATGCAACATAAATATTATATATTTGATATAAATGTGTTGCTTCGTAACATATTTTGCAAAAACATAAACACATATTGTTTTCCTTATGACGTGTTCTATATTTTATATTTATTMAGTACAACATAATATACGAATAGATAAAAGACATATTTGTATTACTTCAAAAACCCAAGTTGCATGGATATGAGTATTATATAAATATCAGATATATGTAAGCTTCATTGTATGTAGATAAGATGATAGATTTATTTTAACTTAGTTTTTCGATATCTAATAAAATATATTAATATTTATTTTATCTTTTCAACCTTTTATATACGACGACGAGGATTTGCAAAACACAGCCAAGCTTTATAGATAAAACATTAATAAAATACTAAATTTAAAAAAAAAAAAATGATTCATGTAGTATTTTATTTTTTATCGCTATTATAATTGAAATAATATGAATTACTAAAATTTGAATATAAACGTGATGGATTACTTGCAATTAGATTCTATACGTAACGAATTCAAATCGTATAAATTGAAAAACAAACGAATTACATTTTACACACAAACGTAGTCTATATTTTAGACAGTAAATTAGATAAATTAAACATAGGTCGAATAACCACTAAAA